CCGTCCTCCTCCTCTTACTCTCACTCCTCTGGCTCTGGCTCTGCCTCTGTTTCCAATGTTGGCATCCATTGCTCCAAAACAGAAAAGCTCACCTGTTGCCCTTTTATGCTAAAGCTCTGATTGCTAATTGTAAAACTGTGTGACAGGTGTTTGCCCATGTGATGAGTCAGTGTGCATAGTAGGGCAATTAACTTTAGAATTTTGAATGACAGTGTGTTCTTTGTGAAAACAAGAGATTTTCTTCATGAAAATTGTGCCAAATGCAGAGAATTGTGTGTAGTGTTTTGAAAAAAATGTGTTTTAGAACTGCAATTTGAGTGTAAAGCAGGAATTGTGCTTGTAGTTTAGCAGAATTGGTTCAGGGGGTTGGTGCATGAGTAACATGTTGTGGTCATTGTGTCTCAAGTACCAGTATTTGTGTGTAAACAATTGAGAAAAACTGTAAGTGTCCACACACACACGCACGTTTGCACTTGTTGATTCTACGCAACTGGAAGTTTATCTGCATCACGCACACCAGTCTGCTAAACATGGAGAAGCAGCATTTAGTTTTTATGCTCCACATATCTGGAACAAACTCCCTGAAAACTGCAGGTGTGCTGCAACTCTCAGTTCTCTAAAATCAGGGCTGAAGACTTTTCTGTTTGCTGCTGCCTTTGATTAAATCAAATCTGAGCCTTCTTCTTCTCACACTGCACTGAAACTTTTATTCTGTTTTATCTGTCTTCTGTTGAGGTTTTATTTCTGTCACCTATCTATGTTTTAATTCTAACTTAATTATAGTTACATTAATGTGATTAATGTCTTTTTATGTTGCCTATTGCTTTTACTTGCTGTATATTTTATGTAAAGCACTTTGAATTGCCTTGTTGTTGAAATGTGCTATACAAATAAACTTGCCTTGCGTAGTGAGCTTTACCATAATTTATTTCAGTCAAATATTTTCTTCCAGAATTGGCTGATAATGAAGAAAATACATAATTAGGCTTCAGACTTTCTGTTCTTCTTTTGCAGTTTGATCTAAGAATTTTTGTTTTAATACACACAAAAAACACTGTTTAGACTGTAATCCTAGCACCCTCACTTGACCCAGTGAGCTAACTCTGCTCTCTGTGAATGGTACAATAAATATTTAATGCAAATACTTTCTTCCACAATACTAAAAAAAACTGTATCTAGTCTACTAACTTTGTGTTTGTGTTTTTTTCAATTATATCTAATAATATTACTTTTAAAAAAAAACTCTAATTATACATGTCTATATAGAGTGTATTATTGGCTCGATGGCACCATCTACTGGATGAAAATAGAACACAGAAATAGAATGAAATGGAAAAGGAAACTACGTGAGGCGTTCATGTACGCGGACTGGTGTGTGCAATGCAGATAAACTTCCGGTTGCATAGTATCAACAAGTGCAAACGCACGTGTGTGTGAACGCTTAACAACATTTCTCCAACAGTGACGGATGTGCACAAGCTGTAAGTATAGTATGCATACTATACTTACGCGTGAAATACAATCCGCATGTAGCAACGCATGTGCGCACGCACACGTACCAAAATTTACTATGTTAATTACGCATGCACACACACGTTGCTGCGCGTGTATCTGCTTATTTTGATATGGATAGGACTTCATAGTGTGTGTGTGTGTGTGTGTGTGTGTGCGCGCGCGCGTGCACGTAAGCGTGTGCGTGCGTGCGTGCGTGCGCGCGCGTGTGCGTGCGTGTGTGTCTGACGCTCGTTCTCTCTCTCTCCCTGCAGCCTCTCAGAGTCTCTCGTCCACTCGCTGCAGGTGGACCTCCTGTCCAGCAGGATGGAGGTTGACAACAGGCTCCGACTCCTCTCAGCCCCCCTCACTGTTGGCATGGAAACACTGCAATATGCACACACACAGCTGACCAAAACCGCGCAACAAAACACACAAACACACACTCTGCTGGACGACGCACACACATTGCTGCTCGACTACCAGGTACACACACACACACACATACACACATACACACTTATTTTCAGGTAAACTGAACAAGAACAATGACAAAAATCCTGTTTATGATATAAAACATCAGTTATTGATCACTTATTAATCAGTTATTAATCAGTTATTAATCAGTTGTTGATCAGTTGCTAATCAGATATTGATCAGATATTGATCAGTTATTGATCAGATATTGATCAGTTATTTATCAGTTATTGATTAGTTATCGATCAGTTATTGATCAGTTACTGATCAAAGTGCAGAGTCAGTGTTTATTGGTGACTGATGACTGATGTCCTGTCATCTGTCAGTCTGTCCACAGGAACCTGAGTGTGGACCGTCTGTCTGTGGATGCAGTGATGGAGGATAGTCAGCTGCTGCTGGACGATACCGTCAGTCTGACAGAGGAGTTAACCAACACCACCTCAGTGAGACACACACACACACCTGCACACTCCACCTGATCAATATCTCTGTGATGGTAATTACAACAACAGTAACCTGTGTGTGTGTGTGTGTGTGTGTGTGTGTGTGTGTGCAGCAGGTGGAGGTGTTCCGCGGTCACCTGGATCAGTGGCAACCCCTGCTGAGGAAACAGGTGGACAGTCTGGTCATTGGACTGGAGGTTACTGATGCTTTGGAGAATGTTTACCATGCCGAAAGCCACGCCCTCCGGTTTCAGAGCCACGCCCACTCCATGCACAGGTAGATGTGTGTGTGTGTGTGTGTGTGTGTGTGTGTGTGTGTGTGTGTATGTGTGTATGTGTGTGTTAACACTTGTCCTCTTCCTCAGCTCTCTGTCATCAGTTTGTAATGTAACAAATGCCAGCCGATTAGTTCAGCTTGACAGTGACATCACACACCAAGTTGACTCCGCCCAGCAGGTTGCTGTGACCGCCCACATCTCCGCCTCTGTCGCTCTCAATGTGGTGAGTGTGTGTTGACAACCCCCCCCCCCCCCACCAAAAATTATATGAGTGAGAGTTGCGTTCTAATGATTTTGTCTTTCAGACCGTCCTATCAGAGCAGCTGATGTCAGAGGAGGGCGGAGCCAAACTGAAAGTCAGCACCGCTGTTTTAGAAGAAAGTCGACAGATCAACGAGACGTTCAAAGGTTTGTGTTTGTTATTACTCGCGTTCTAAACATCAAATCTATTCTTCGTCATGTTCTCTATCATGTTCTCCATCATGTTCTCCCTCATGTCCTCCGTCATGTTCTCCCTCATGTCCTCCATCAAGTTCTCCACCATGTTCTCCATCAAGTTCTCCGTCATGTTCTCCATCAAGTTCTCCATCACGTTCTCCATCATGCACTCCTTCATGTCTCCGTCATGTTCTCTATGGTGTTCTCTATCATGTTCTCCGTCATGTTCTCTGCCATGTTCTCTGTCATGTTCTCCGTCATGTTCGCCTTCATGTTCTCCCTCATGTCCTCCGTCATGATCCCCATCATGTTCTCCGTCACATTCTCCATCATGTTCTCCGTCACATTTTCTCCGTCATGTTCTCTCTCATGTTCTCCGTCATCTTCTCTGTCATGTCCTCTGTCATGTTCTCCCTCATGTCCTCCGTCATGATCCCCATCATGTTCTCCGTCACATTCTCCATCATGTCCTCCGTCACATTTTCTCCGTCATGTTCTCTCTCATGTTCTCCGTCATCTTCTCTGTCATGTCCTCTGTCACATTTTCTGGCATGTTCTCTGTCATGTTCTCCATTGTGTTCTCCATCGTGTTCTCTATTGTGTTCTCCGTCATGTTCTCCACCATGTTCTCCACCATGTCCTCTATCATGTTCTCCACCATGTTCTCCACCATGTCCTCCATCATGTTCTCCGTCATGTTCTCTGCCATGTTCATTCAATCTGTCCATTTGTTTTCCAGACCTGCGGCTGAATGTCTCCACGGTAACCAGCAGACTGCTATTGGTCAGAGATGGCATCCATAACTCCACCCTCTTCCTCCGTAAGCCAACCAAAGAGCTGCAGAGCTTCTCTAACAGTGAGATATTTTAGGCTCCTCCCACATTGATGTCATCGTGTCATTTTATTGGTTTATTGATTGATCGATTGATTGGTGTTTGTTTTCCATCAGGTTCATTCATGGTGCTGCAGCAGACTCACCTTCAGGCTGCGGCAGCACGCTCCGACCTGCAGGAGGCGCTGCGGTGGCTGCACAGACTCAGGCTGCAGCTGCAGGATTCTTCCTCTGTGGTGGAAAACACCAACAACACAGTTACTGAGACAAACCGGCTGGTGACTTACACTCACGCCGAAGGTCTGTATCCGTTTACAGTGTCACACATTTCAGACGCAGCTGTCCGGTACTCACACTTCCTGTTTCCTGTCTCTTCAGCCAATGAGGTGCAGCAGAAGCTGGAGGAGGCAGAGCATCGTACAGAGCGTCTGATGGGTCGGATCAAACCGCTGAGCATGCTGGGAGAAACACTGAGAAGGAATCTGTCAGACATCAGAGAGCTGATCGATCAGGCCAGAAGACAGGCTGCCTCGGTACATAAACATACACACACAGAAATACATATCCTGAAACACACACAGAGAGAAGGTGTGTAAACGAGGAGACGGAGTTGTCTCATCTTTGAACCATCAGTGGCATCACTGAAACAGCATCTGTATGGACCCTTTTGAGGCTCAAAGTGACATCACTATGACATCACGATGACGTCATGTTATCAGCTGGAGGTGCAGGTGCCTCTCCCCCACAGGGCTGTAGGCTCCATAGGAGTGTAAAATGTGTGTTGTCTTGTTGTGTTATTGGGAGCCAGAATAGAAGGAGTCATGGCTCAAAACCAGCCGCCACTGCCCGTCAACAAAAACAAAGACAACTATGGTTAAATGTGATAAGACCAAAGGACTGGACGGAGGCCATCATCAAAAATGCTCACATGTGCAGCGCACACTTCATATCAGGTTAGGGAAAAAGTATTTCCTGTTGTAGGGATGAATAAGGT